TCTTACGTGTAAGTGTAATTCTTGTCTTGGCGGACGTGGTTGTAACTGTAATCCTCTCTTTCTTGATATCTTCGCTGCCCCCGCGCGCTCATACTTTTCCCCCTTTTATATTGGCCCAGATGAYTACATGACTGGATTGATGTGTGGAGTGTGGCTACRTCCCCCACGCCGCGGCCTGGCCATGCAGTCGTGSGCACTTCCTTCTTCTTTTCTCCCACTCAGGCACAATCTCGGGTATCTCGCGCAAACACACATGCTATAAATTTTGCAAGCACGATTAACTCGCTCTCTATCAATTTTGGAGTTAGCGTGGTCGAGAGGATCGGCTAACAAGCAAGAATCGGGAGGTGAGTAAAGAGTTGGGCGATTCGACAGGCCGGTGGTGGATATGCAGGGTTGATGTGTGGTCGCGGCGGACTGTGGCACACGAGCGAACGTGGCTTGCATGTTCAGGCTAAGCGGGGTGACAACTCTGTGTGGGTGCACGACGATAGACTGCTGGCATGGGGATGATGTGAAAAGAGAGAGAGAGAGAGAGAGAGAGAGAGAGAGAGAGAGAGAGAGAGAGAGAGAGAGAGAGAGGGGATGTGTTGTGATGGTGCTTCTCTTTTATTCTTCTGAGTAATTTTGATGTCTGGCGCCAACCGCCCTTGCTTTTTNAGAGAGAGAGAGAGAGAGGGGATGTGTTGTGATGGTGCTTCTCTTTTATTCTTCTGAGTAATTTTGATGTCTGGCGCCAACCGCCCTTGCTTTTTGGGTCGACATCTTGGACTTCTCCTTTGTTTCTTCCCTGAGGATTGGTGTGTGATCGTCCACCCCGCTTCCCTCCCCCCTCTGTATGAATATGCAATCTGCTTGGTTGACCACCTATGATCGAATTTTGTATGATTCCCGACCAATGACCGAAGAATTGATGCACGGATGATTGTCAACTCCTCGTTTTTTTTTTTTTTTGTGTATGTTCGAAGCTAGATGCATGGATGTTTGGCATTTTTCTGTCTGAGTATGAACTAGATGAGCATGCTAGATGATTAAATGTTTGTCTCACGATAGGATTGCCCACCTTTGGGTTAACGGGCCAGTACGTACACGTTGCGAGTAGCTGGCCTTTATCCACCTGGCCGACGGACAGGTCTTGTGCACGCACATGTAAGCCCGGCCGAAGAAGGTCGTTACTTACACGCGGGACTGCAAGATCCGTGTTCGACCCAGTTCCCCAAATGTTTGAATTTTTGCCCCACCCTGCAGTATGAATATCGAAACCCCCTTTCGCATTACTGACCGCGAGTGCCTGAGGGATCGAGAATTATGGGAGTACTAGGAACGCGCGTGTCTGTCTATACGATCAAGGGTGGAATCTCCGGAATTCCCCTACTCCACAGGGGACAAACGTATTTCTGAGTGGGATATTGATCGGGCCTTGGAATGTATCCCCCACCTCCCCGGATGCCTAAGCTCATACACGTGTCACGTCGTTGTGGAACCCGGAATCATTATCCTGGAAACCATATTCCTTCCCTATCACCGCATCCTGCCCTTCCACTCCCTGACCATCGTCCCCTGGCGCACACTCGCTCCCTATTGGCCCCAACCCCCGTGCTCGGAGTGCCTGAAAGACCATGATTACCGAGCATCCGACCTCATCCGGCAAACCCGCTCGGAAGAAGAACGACGGGAGCACAGCCTTCGGCTGAGGCCGGCCGCGTCGTATTCCGAGACTTGTGGCGTTCGACATCGGCAGCGACGGCAAGTGATCAGCCACCGAGATAGCCATAGCGTCCCGACGGTACACTAGATACGAGTCGACCCAGACAATGGGACCAATGGAGGCGGTCTATGTGTCCGAAATTGGATTCAACGGGGGTTTCCCGTTGAACAGGTTCAACTCTCGTTGAACCCCCGTTACAATTCCGCGCTAAACCGCATTAGAACGGGGTTCAACTCGACCCGCGATTTTTTTTTTTTGCTGGCA